TTAGTATAAACATACTAATGGTCTATCACTCATACTGCGCTGTGATTGGCTACTCTACTAATGGTCTAATTTGTGATAGACCACTCGCGGGAAAATCAAAATGGCGGCATCTCATTAATAAATTTTTTAAAGATATCTCAATTTGTTTTCATTATTTGGCAGATTAGTATGTTTATACTAAAACAATTAGACCTCTCGGCCTCGTGGACTACGAGCTAATAGCCCATTCGGCCTCGCGGACTCGGCCTCATGGGCTATTAGCTCGTAGCCCACTCGATCTCGAGGTCTAATTGTTAATTAGACTTATTGTGATTTCATGGTTGACGGAAATCCACTGTATTACATTACCGTTGTCTCTAAACTGCTACGCAAATAGCTGCACAATGCAAATACAATTCACGATATGGAATTAGCGATAGACTGGCGTTAATCAAATAGCCTAGGTTACATCTGGTTTTATTTGCCAAAAGAACCGTCTGCGTATTATCTTTTGACAAAAAAAAAAAAAAAAAAAAAAAAAAACGGATGTAACGCAGGCTTTTAGTTGGTGCCAAAAAAACTTGAGTTAATTAACAACATGCAAAATATTGCTAATTGCAGTTTTGAAGTTTTAACCGACAAGCTATAACACTTCTCCTTTTCGTGATACTCCAATTTCGAGATCTTACTTGTTCAGCCTTAGCCTCAAAATCATGTAATATATTGTTTTGATCCTATTGAAATGCAAATACTCCAGCATTTATGCTTGATTGCAGCTAAGCTTGCACAAAAGAGAATACTCCAGTTTCGAATTCATAGCGAAAAACCACTGCAGATTCTCTTGCGCAAAGACCTGACCAAACACAAAAGAGAGCACGAGAAATGTCGTTATTACAATAGACTCGAACATTTGCATTTTCCCCGAGTTGAGATTAACCCTGTATTTCCATAAGACCTAAGGTATGAGCCTTCTGGGAACACAGGGTTAGCCTCAACTCGGGGAAAATGTCAATTATTAGCGCTATTGTACTTACAACATTTTCTCGTGCTTTCTTTTGTGTCTTTGCGTAAGAGAATCTTCTGTCAAATAAAACAGCGGTTATTCGCTTTAAATTCGAAACTGGAGTACTCGAACAGCGTGGTTACACTGTTCTTACCTGGTGAGGATCTGATGAAGGGATGATGTATGCTTTTATGCCCCCTGTCAACGTTACATTCCTCATTAGCAATCTAAGTGCCGCTAAACGTTGAGTTGTATCTTGAGCTGTTTTCGGGACATACTAAAACAAAATAATTTCAAGCACTCATGAAACGTGTTATCAAAGACAAAGCGAGAGAGGGCGCATGCATGTAAGCCTATAACGTTTTCAAATCGTAAGAACGTTCAATTATATAGTAAACCTTTTTGCAAAGGCTTCAAGCTGTATAATATATGCTTGCAGTTGACCTAATTAAGACGAGTAGTTACGAGAAACAATGTATTTTTGTTGCATGACAAGTTGACGATGCAAAGGCAGCTAAATACGAGATATAAAAAAACCATCAACTTGGCGCGCAACATTGTTTCTGTTAAAGTTGAGTATCAAAGTTTCTCGTTTTTCATGCATCAACTTGTTATGCAACAAAAATACATCGTGAAAAACGAGAAACACCGATGCTCAACTTGAACAGAAACAATGTTTCGCGCTAAGTTGATGGTTTTTGTATCTCGTATTTTGCTGCCTTAATGGATAATTCAACCCCAAACAAGGAGCACAATATCAAACAGTCAAAATAATGTTTGACCCTTGATTGCATGATTAGCCATGTTTGATGGAATGGAGTTTGCTGAATTAATTTTTCTAGTTTGCACTGGGAAAGCATTGTAGCGATATGTAAAGCATGCATTGATTTTGCTCATTGTTTTCCTGCTGTACTGGTATCAATTATAGTCTTACAAAATAATACAATTAGACAATTACGCGCACTCTAGTGAAGCCTCAGATTTGACGCATCATCTATCACACAATCGCAGACAAACCTTCTCTTTCCCTTCTCCGCACTCCCGTAATCTTCTAACTGTACTACAGCTAAAACACGAGAACATCGATAAAAACACAAAGCCTGAAAGAAAAAAAAGCAACAAAGGTAAACACGGAGCAACTTAACAAATCAACAGTACATCGGTTATTTACATACCTTGAAAGATGACAAACAAATTTGACATTTTAAGAAAACTATCTTCTTTTTCTATAATGTTCTCGTTTTTTTAGTCCATTTTCTTTGTCGAAGTCATAATTAGAAATACAATTATTTAGTTAGAAAAGGAAAACAAGAGGTCAAAGATTGTGAGCCATTCGGGTAAACTGGTGGTCGGCAGGTGGCACGTGACCTTCAATGAGTAATCGTCAAGCGTGACGGATATCTATGGCAACGTTTTTTGTTTTTCTTTAAACATGTCACGAAACTTCACCTATTTTTACGGTGTTAAATTCATCTTTTTACAAAACTATTTGTTTAGAACAGCCCCCCTTCCCCCCCGTCACAAGCTTAAAAGGTCCGGTGTTTCTTTTTTTTATTGCCTTATTTTAATATTCTTTTGTAATGAATTGTCTTTGGTAGTATTTTGTTATGAACTGCCCATTCTAGCAGCTAGTTCCTACACACCATACCTGTGCATTGAACTAATTTAGTCAAACATTTAATTTAGGTCCGCAT